TAAGCGTGCTACATGTCCTCTTTAATATCCCTACCCCAGATCAAAAAGGGCATTATAAGACCTTGCTCTAATTCTCAATGCCCTCGATAAATGTGAAATTTTGTTTCTCTTTTCATTTGCTACTATGTCGCAAATACATAAAATTATAAGCAGCGGCCCATGTATCTAACCGATGTTGCAGGGACAACTAGCAGATATGTACTTGAAGAAACAGCAGAAGCGCTATTTTGTTTTTCAGATCGGGAGATCAGCTAACGCTAAGAGTAGTTAAAAATTCTATACATTTTTGTACTTGAAATTTTGCAAGAAATTTATTAGTAAATAAGTGTCAAATGACCTTCCAGTAATGCGAGATGCAGAAGACACATTATCAACATTATTTTGAATGTCTAGACAATATGAAAACTGAGTCATGTTACACTTGACAACTGAGTGATATTGTTGTTCTGAAGACCTGCAAGAGCTCAAAGAGCTTATAATATCTTTGTCAAATAGCACTAGAAATACCTGATTAATCGCGGTCACAGAGTGTTGGATTGCGCAAGCATGCCGTAAAAATTGGCAGGAAGAATAGCAGAATTTATTGAGCGATTATTTTCAGGCTAAACATACTTGTAGCGTAAATATTGTAGCATGAATAGGACAAGCTGCAAACATCAACGTGCTTTTATCTTCTCAGGTACAAAAAATTTTGAAAACATGATTCTGCTTCTTTCTTCATTCTTCGCAAAAAAATGAATTTGTGATAGGTCTTGTTTTGCTTTTCGAGTTTCCTCTGTGCAAGAAGTATCAGATTCATTGAAAAGAACTTATTCAACAACATGTCTCTGCTTTACTCATACCTTTTCTAAGTAAGTAATTGCGCAGTTAGGCTTGTAGCCAGTAAGTCACCAAGATCTTATGCTATCGATACCTTTCATCCTTAGAGTATTTTGAATTTATGAATTTGAAGTTATCAATTCGATGGTCAGTTTGACATAACATCATTCTCAGACATAAAGCAAGGTGTAGAAATAAATGATGAAGCAAAACACACTTGACAATTACGCTAAATGTAAGATAAGAATCGTTCGCGGTCTACCAAATTTTGTAGTCTTAATTGTCAGATTTGCTGTAAGGGCATTTTGAAGACTTAATGAAACTTTTGCGTATAGCCAACCACTAGTGCATCCTATGCGTGCGTCAAAATGCTTAAATTTGTAAATTGCACCGTTCCTTGTGCATTCCATTGCTCGCACAGCAAAATTTCTGTTTTCACCTCTTCGCTGCACTAACAGGAGCTTCTGGGACAGTTTGCTAATCCTATCCACGACATTCGCCGTATTGGATCATTGCAAAAGATATCTGTCATCTACTGTTGCAGCTCAGTGTCCCAAACAGCAAACTTTAGCCACAAGTTTATGCATACACATTGCTAGCTGACAAACCTTAGAATTTTTGGCTATTGTTTCACCGTACCTCTTAAAGAAGCGAACAAATGAGCAACTGAAATTTGAAAGACATTTGCCGCTTTTGATCGCTTTTAGTAGCAAATCATTCTCTTTTTCTTTAAATTATCTGCTCTTTTCAATCGTTTTGTTTCAAAATCTGTTTTATGAATAAAAAAAACAGTCATAAGTTTCGCTCGACCACCTCTTATGTTGTGTCTATCATTTTTTTGCAACATTCCATTGTGATTAAGCATGAAAAATGTTTATTGAGGCATTACTATAAGATGGCACTTCGACAAAGAACAAAACATTTTTCTTAAGCTTTAAGTGCCATCTTGTTTCCTGCTTAGAAATCGAATTCTGGGATAAAATCCGTGCCGTTAACAAAAATCAATTATGATCAAGATCATAATCTTCAATAAGTCCAAGTTCCTTAATAGTTTAAGAAATAATGACAAACTTTAGATTGGCTCTTGTCCTGACGTAAGTGTTGTTTGATTTTATTTTGTTTATGTACAGTGAAGCGAGAAACGAGATGTGTAATCCATAGTTTAGCCTCGACAGCACTGTCATCATAGTTGCAGCTGTCGCCTTTGGCAGAGGGGGTTGAAAAGAGTATCCATCTTTCGCGCTTGAGATGTCAAACTTTCGAGATCATTGACGACTTCTGCTCGCTGAAACTTGACTGTTTATGTTATTGTTGACGGCAATATGGATGAATGCCACATGGCTGATGTCTTGTCTCTGATCTTGGGTCCCTCATTGCCCCAGCTGCGTGCGCTAAGAGCGGCAGCTGGCGTCTGTGGGTCTCACTCAAATTGTCTTAGAGAAACACATGGTGCCCATTTCTCACTCTTCAGCTCCGCAACCTCCTCTCCTATTCTCTTTTCGTACATATACTTATCCTTGCATTTAAAATAAAGTTTACTTTTAGAATGTTCGAGAAATTCCTTCTGCTGCTCATCATTGTTATTGCCTTCATTTCTTTCACGTCTGCTGATTTTTCGTGCTTCTTCGGTGACACCATTTGTAAGAGCATCACCTGCAGGGTAAGTGAACACTTATTTGAATTTCAAAACCATCCCGAGTTCTCTTCAAATTCACTTAGCCCTAAAGAATTTCACTTTATATGATCTAGTTCACACAGTTTCTTCATTCACACAAAAATGATTGCTTCCTTTTAAACTGAAAGCGTTAAAAATGATGAGCTTTAGCACATATACTATATCATAATGTAATAAAACCTTTATTGCTTTCTTTTCGTATGTTATCTGGCAGTATTAGCCAGCTTCTTACCTTATTTATATAGTAATTGTTACTTACTTACTGCTCGAGTGTTTCCGCCTAGTCACCTCATCTTAGCTTCAATAGACTGCGTGCTCGCTACCTCGACTTAGAAATCCTTTTTTTTTTTCAGAACGCTGTGCAATGGGCTAACATCATACATTTACCAGTCCAGAATAGAACCCAAGCGTTAACTTAAGCTCATCCCAAAGAATCTTTTCTATTCAGTGTCTTTATTGTGTCCTGTGTTAGAATAGTGTAACTAATG